CAGGTAAGTCCACTACGGGTTCACCATAGCCCGTGCTACTTGCCCCGCTCCTGTGCCAGGTAAGTCCACTACGGGTTCACAATAGCCCGTGCTACTTGCCCCGCTCCTGTGCCAGGTAAGTTACGGGCTCACCATAGCCCGTGCTACTTGCCCCGCTCCTGTGCCAGGTAAGTTACGGGCTCACCATAGCCCGTGCTACTTGCCCCGCTCCTGTGCCAGGTAAGTTACGGGCTCACCATAGCCCGTGCTACATGGAAATTCTTCGAGTAGCTGAATCTATACCAACAACAACTTCCACGTCCTAGCCTTACTTTATAAACGCATGTTTAAATATGCATTTTAACTGTATAAACGCATGTGAAACAAACGCTTGAATACCACCCCAAGTGAACAAATCCACAAGGGCCGTGACGAGGATTCGAACCTACGTCCGGGAGCATCCCAGACACTGCCTGGACTTATTTTTATTTACTTTTGGACTGGACTTACACTATTTTGAATAGTACTTACCACCCCAAGTGCTATTCTAAACAACACATAACTGACCACAAACACCACGCAAACATAACAGACTGACGCCTACAAGAGACAACCCTCTCGGCCCTATTTTAGCTTAAACCATTACTGTCTTAGAACGTTTCATGAACGTTGTGTTCCAGCATGCGATACTTTATGTCTTTTAAGTGAATGACACCACAAGTTAATATAACATTCAAGGAAATAAAGCCATTTAGAATAGGTTGCTAAGTTAGTTACCATTCAACTGAATCAAATCAAACTATTAATATAAATTAAATTTTTCGAAGAACTTGTTTTAAAGATATTCTGTTTGCTTATGCTTCCATTGAAGACTTACCATTCTCTACGCAAATTATGTTCTTCCAAAGTTATCGGCATACTCGCCCCCTTCTTAAATAACCCTAAATAATATAATTTTATTGTGCTTTACAGGATACAATAAATCTATAGTACGAAAATAATAGAACCCGCTCAAGTTCCGAAAACGGAGGAAGCAACCGGAGGAAGGTAGAACCCGCTCAAGTTTAGAAAACAGAGGAAGCAACCAGAGGTAGGTAGAACCCGCTTAAGTTTAGAAAACAGAGGAAGCAACCGGAGGAAGGTAGAACCCGCTCAAGTTTAGAAAACAGAGGAAGCAACCGGAGGAAGGTAGAACCCGCTCAAGTTTAGAAAACAGAGGAAGCAACCGGAGGTAGGTAGAACCCGCTTAAGTTTAGAAAACAGAGGAAGCAACCGGAGGTAGGTAGAACCCGCTCAAGTTTAGAAAACAGAGGAAGCAACCGGAGGTAGGTAGAACCCGCTCAAGTTCAGAAAACGGAGGAAGCAACCAGAGGTAGACCAGTGTGGTGGCAGGCGTCCAACCTTCCAAGGTGAGGGACCTGCCTCTTAAACCGGATGTAAACAGAGACTGAAGCGGGTAGGCCCACCAACCACAGTCACCGCAAGTCCCCCCCCCCTCAACCCCCATCATACTACTAACCTCCATCACTCTCTCCCTTCTAGGTGATGTACAGCACAGTTTTTCAGGCAATAAGTAGGGTATATTGTTCCAGACTCAAACCATACAGACAATTAGACCTCTTGAATTGTTCCTTAGCAAAGTTTAGCTCGATTTCCACCTCTCATAACGCAAACATACGAACGAACGAACAAGCATGTCAATTCACCGTGACCCGTTTATACTAAAATAAATGCTAGAGGAAATATTCTCCGAGGGGCGGTCGCCTCGCGTGCAAAGTTTCTATTAATAGTCTTCAGATAAACTAATTTAAATTTTTTGCCCCGAGGGGCGAGTTTATTGGGCAGCGCCACTCATCTTGTGAGTGAACATACCGCCATAGCAGAATGTACAACACTCCCCAATAGGAAGAAAACCCGCTGGGTAGATAAACTAATGTCTCTACTCTGTCAGTGATGTAACAGAATGAAACACTATGCTCCAATTTTCCAATTTTCAGTTTTATTAATAATATAATGAGTGATGATTTACGAGCCATTTCAGCAACGTATTTTCAGATATTGTCTTAGTATAATGTACACTTATAATATTGTGACGTAATTATGTATTGTGCTCCTGTTATGGTAGGAATTATGTAACCATTGTCTCGCAATTGTTATTTAACTAAATATTTACATAAATATAAGGTAGATTTGTGTACTGTATCTACACAGCCCATCCTCCTAAAATGAGAACACCTGTAGTAACGATTTGGTCCAAAAGTACAGTACCAACATGTGGTGATGGACCAACTACATGTTGGTTGGTCCATCACCAAAGGTATTTGTTTGTATTAACGAACTTGGACAGATCGGAATGTTTTTTTAACTGTAACATAAATATAAGGCCTCTCCTACCAATCCTAGCCCCAATACACGCAAACTTAGGTCTATTATAGTACATATATATGCTACACTAGTCATAGGAATATTCAAGCTTGGTTTTATTCCGTCCCCCTAGACTGTAAAATTAATAGTACAAGTAAGTAATTATCAAAAGAAGGCACCAAACCGGAAAGGCTATGTAGCACCACCAAATGTGCGGAGTAATCAGAGGGCGCTAAATATCACCAATGATGCCAATACGAGAACAGAAACGCATAAGGCGAACGATATCAAAAGTATCCGATTCACCAAAAATTCTATCGAGGGACAAGTGACCGCGAGGGACGGTCGGAAAGCAAGACACGCTCGTCTTGGAAGTCAGGACATTCAACAAGAAAAAGTTGTTTACTGGTTGTTGTTGTTGTTAAAGATTCGCTACCTGGAACAAAAAGTTCCAAGTAGCACGGGCTATGGTGAGCCCGTAGTGTTTACTGGTGGTCCATCACTGCATACGAGTACTTTCGACCAAACACTTTCCATAAGTGCAGGATACTGTCATTTCAGGAGGATGGGCTGATCTATATTCCAGCCAATAATTACCTATAACCAGTTGGTCAAAGGTAGAAAAAAATGGGCTGTTGGACCCAATAATTTTGTTGTATTATTGAATTAGCCCAAACCAAGAAAATTGAAAATTAAAGAACCAAACTTGTCAACGCAAGTTTAGGCATAACACTGTACACGAATGTGCTATATTACGCCTAGGATTGTTTAATTTTGGTTTTAACGTTGTTTCATAGCCAGTACAGAATTAATAGTTCAAAATATGAACACTGTTGACTGCAAGTCCATTTTTTGAACTTGAACTTTTGTACACTGCACTTGTCCCACAAAAAACGTTCACAACCTTACACTGACTGCACTTATCCCAGGAAAAAACGCTCACAATCTTACACTGCACTTGTCCCACAAAAAAACGTTCACAACCTTACACTGTACTTGTTCCACAAAAAAACGTTCACAACCTTACACTGTACTTGTTCCACAAAAAAAAACGTTCACAACCTTACACTGCACTTTTCTCACAAATAACGTTCACAACCTTACACTGCACTTGTCCCACAAAAAAACGTTCACAACCTTACACTGCACTTATCCCACGAAAGAACGCTAACTTCGCTAATCACTTATTATTTGTATGTGTTTTTGTATCAAAAGATTGAGTAACTTTTATCATTATCAAAATATTCTTACTAGAAATACGGAAACAAACACTTTCCCAACTGGGTAACAACACCCGTACTCGTTACGTCACCATTCGCTTCATCATTAATACACTATCATTTTCATTCTTGATACATCATTAATATACTATCACTTTCAGAATTAATGCATTGATACTGCTACCATTAACACAGCAATATTACTTTATAAGTAAAAGTATTAAAAACTTTGTAAATAAACTACGATCTAGTAATAGCATCACTTTCAACATTAATACCACTACTAACACATCACTTTCACATCGAATGCATCATGAATTTAGCAATCATTACATCATTTTCACCACTAATACAATCATATCTTGTATAATACAAAACCTCCAACAAACGAGCTAACAATTACATTTTCATTCTCCTAAATTTCTAGTCATATCCGAACCACTACTAGGTATGGTTATTTAATAACTATACGAGTAGGCTACATTTCAACCAATTTTATCCGGTTTGGACCAATCAATGGTATTCGTCATTGAAGCATTTAAGCCAATTCTGTTTGAACAATTAGTTTCTAATCACACGTTTTCAGATTTTTAACAAGTAAATTGTTGTAAGCCTTTCGTCGAACCTGTCGCTGCATAATAGTTCACTTGTAAGGTCACCAGGGGGGCCACCAGTGTTTACACGAGTCTCCAGCGTCAGTTGATGGCACGAGTCTCACTGGTGGACAGACAGGCACGACCAGGAACAGCTGAGGTGAAGCTGGGCGGGAGTAGATATCGGAAGTGGGATTACCGTGTGGTAGTGGTGGAAGGCAGAGACGGCTAGGCAGGTTAGAAAACTTATGAGGCTATAGAAACGGATGGAACACTAGAAATTGTAGAGATGAGAGGTAATTAAACGTCTTGACAAATCTACCACAAAGACCCTCTCACCAACACCGTGACCACGACTCTCACCAACACCTTGACTCTTACCAACGCTGTAGCCTGGACCCTCGCCAACACTAACCTCGACCCTCACCAACACCTTAACTCTTACCAACACTGTAGCCTCGACTGTCACCAACACTGTAGCCTTGACTGTCACCAACACTGTAGCCTCGACCCTCACCAACACTGTAGCCTCGACCCTCACCAACACTGTAGCCTCGACCCTCGCCAACACTAACCTCGACCCTCACCAAGACAGTGACCTCGACTCTATCCTGCAGCGTGACCTCGGCCTTAACCACAACTAGAGCAATGAACGGCACATGCGCACATGGCTGAATGTGGTCACTGAAGGCCAACGATCGTTACTTCACAACACAACGTTGCACAATTCAAAGATTGTAAAGTGCGTGGGTGAGGGGTAGAGGGTTGAGTGGGGGGGGGAGAGGGGGGTGTTGACGAGGTGTGGTTAACGAGTGAGAGCTACAGTTGTAGCAGTAGCGAGTACCTGGTGTAGACGCTGGTGTCTTGCCTCCGTGTTGTGGGCCGACACTGCTGCTGCTGCTGCTGCCCGCCCACCCGGGCCACACCATTGATTCCTGCGCGCTCACCCACCCTCTCCACATCTAGCCCCCCTATCCCCTACCTCCCGTCTCTTAACCCGTCCTCCTCCCTCCAGGCACTCCTCCTGTCCTGTCATGCCAGCCTGCAGCCACTACTTTACCCTGATGTACTCCTAGTCACAAGGTACACGCACCGCACCACCAAGCCCCCTGCAGAAAACACGAAGGTGCTTCCCAGGAACTGAGCTCCAGCTCCGCCTCTTGACCATTATTCGGGTGGGTTGTACTTCCTAACCGTATCAACTTTCACATTTGTACCTGTGTATGAAACTGACATGAAATTTCATCTAATATATAAAACACTATTTTCATGTATCAAAATTATCTGACCGCAAACCCGCCTTGGTTTAATTCGCTGATGCCCTAGTATGTTCAGATCATTTCTTCAGTTCTTTTTTGTCAAGCAATACAAGGTTTATCTTATACGCATATGGACTCGTCTGGCAAATACCCATTTTCTAGTTATGAGGTTTTTTTTTTTAAGTTGAGGATTCCACTCTGCAGCAGCATGAAGCATACAAAGAAAGCGCCAAGCCAGTACGAATAGATATCGCTGCATATTCTAAACCTGACGTTGTACCCACATACATAAGACCAATTTTGGACAAAGTTTTTGTATAGGGCACCGAAAAATTTACTATTGAGATTCATGAAGAGACGGAGAGGGGTTTGGTGGGTGTTTGCCCGTCCTCAATCTGTGAAAGGGAAGGGAACTATCAGGAGAAAGAAATAAAACAATTACGACTATATAGCACTTGGAAGGGATCAGAATAAGGGTTTCGGGATGGGACGGGGGAGGGGAGGAAGGAATGGTGCCCAACCACTCGGACGGTCGGGGATTGAACGCCGACCTGCATGAGGCGAGACCCGTCGAGTCCAGGTAGTTGGGTGGAGGGAGGGCTAGGTAAAGCAAGATGGCACTTGGGGCACTGCTTCCTAAATATTGGTAGCTGGTGCTTTCTTGTATCTTAATTAATGTGGATGATGGCGGCATCCACAATTAATGTGTAACTACTCGCATTGAACTACAGTGTTCCTAACTTGCACCCGCGTCCTTATATTTTTGTATTTTTTTGAACATTGTGACCATATCTTCTCTGGTGTTTCTTCTCAAATTGGAGTGAACCAGTTCCCTTAGCCTACCTGTAAGTCATATTAAGCGAAGAGGCCAAGCCTATGTAGCTAGCCTACCTGTATTCATCGATTTATTATTATACTTTGGGGAACTAATCTTGTTTCAAAGGTTGATGCCTTTCCGGTGCTGTATATTGTAGAACTGGTCTGTAGTAGTGTTTATATTACCTCCAAGTCTTTAAACCTTGTATATACTTTTGTGTATAAGCGCGTGTGTAGGTGTTTTAAATATAGCGTAAACAAGCCTAGTGAATGAAGCACAGAGCATCCACCTCACGACGCTTAACAAGGTCAGTAAACACTGCATTTCCTGGTAGGGTGTAGGGTGGGTGGGCGCCAGTTGCACCTGGAGCCGTCGCTCGTGCCTCTGCCCGCATACCTGCCCCTGGGGTCGCAACAGGGCCTCGGGTGCACCATCACTACTGCACCTTCCACCTCCCGCGCCATGCGTCACTCGCGCCAGATTTAGCCCCTTGCGTCACCGTCTCGGAACACATACGCGCACATAACGCCCTGCAAAAGCGCGCGCTAGCTTCAGCGATCGTGTTCGTAAATGCGAGCGTGTACAACGTAATCGTGCGTGCTGGCTTTGCGTGCAGAGTAAATTTCGTGACAACAGGGGAGAAATTATCAAACCAGAGTTCTACCCGTCAATCATGATATAAAAAATAGATGCCGGCTTCCTGAGCACCCCAGAATACTACACCTACTGTATTATACACCAGCCCACTAACCCTTGCGTCCGAGTTGGATTTCCGCATACTCGAACAGAATCTATTTTATTTCCATGACCATAAGACTGCATAATTCGTAATACAATTCAGTATACACATATGTTGAAAATAAGATTTTCTCAAGTCGTAAACTGTAGCCTCATAGTTCAAAAACTATCTCGGCACATCGCAGACTCTACGCACTTGCAGATATAACATTTGATACATTACGTTAGTGTGATTACTCTGTGAAGTGAAAGAGGCGCGTCAGAGGTAGAACTTTCCTAGGTGACAGCCAGAGTGCATTGGGGGATTGTGTGAAAATCCTGGTCCGGCTTCAGTGGAAGCCTCGGGAAACCCTCGTGTGTTCAGAATTCCAGGTTACAATCCTTTTGACCATGTCGTGACCTGATTGTCTGGGGCTTGAGTGTGAGACTACCCACCGCATAGGTTCGAATTCTCATCACTGCTCCTATGGATTTTCTTACCATTCCCTTTGTCACAGCCCTAACTACGACTTAAGATATTTCGACTAAAATTAACTACGACTAAAATGAGGACTTGTCAAAACCCAGTTCATTCTCAATTTTCTCTGACTCATATTCTTATAAGATATTATCGTGATACTGGTATGTTTTGCCCATCTCAATAAGCTTTATTTTTTTTATCATCTTTTGAACAATTATTGCGATGCAATTTCAGGGCTTGACAGCCATCAGTTTAGGGATACCGCAAAGCTGGTGATAATAATAATATAATAAACAATAATAATTACTTGTTTATTGATATTAAAGTCCATATAGTACATTTTATGCATGTAACACAATTCGTATGTGAAATGTATATTACGTAAAGCCACTAATACATAGAGCGTTTCGGGCAAGTATATGTTTGTTTTTCTTCATACATTAAAACCCTTAAACGTAATATGCCTGATACTGAATATATGATTTAGTGTTGATACCTAATTATACGTTGGCTGATCCGGCAGAAAATTCAGCAGTACCGGATTTGAACAACGTCCGCAGAAGCCAGTCAGTATCGGTGAGATTAATTGGCTGGAAAAATTGGCATCGCAGTTTAAATCTGAAAAATAAGTTCTCACACACACACACACACACGGACACGGACACGGACACGGACAACTTAAGGTAGACAGACAGTAATGTCCCATAAATTAACCCGATCTACCACAAAGACACGTCACATTAAATGAACCTAGATGTGTACACTTGGTACAAGTTATTCAACTGCTTCTTAAGTTTTCGTATGTATATTAAAAAAAAATCAAAATAGGACATTTGTCCAGTCATGACAACGGACTGTTTACGTACAAAATACAATTCAAAATACAATCGTTAGTGTAGTACTAAGTCTTGGTACCAGATTTGTGGTGAGTGAGGTGGTGACAATAACAGATGGTTGTGTTTGCAGTGGTTGTGATAGTTGTGTGGTTGATGTTGACTGTAGTAGTTGTAGCTAGATATACATGGGGTTGTATCAATAGTTATAGATTTGTTGTAGATAGTAGAAGTGGTATGCACCACTGGTAGTGGTTCTTGTGTTTGAAGCAAAGGTGAACATATTAGCAAGTTCAATGTATGCTATGTTTAGGATTTTTTTAGGATTTAAACTACATGATAGTGGCCTGGGGTACACAGGCAGGGGGGAAGGGAGTATATGCAAACCTGTAACCCAAGCTTTGAGAGTAAATTATAATTTCCTAATAGAGGAAACATTCAAGAAACGTTAAACATGTTCGAAATGGCACTTTTTTTCAAAATGAAACGAGCATCAAAATAGCAATGCTTTAAATATTATACAAACGGCGGAAATATTAAAGATTTATGCATTTGTGTACAGAAATAGTACTGCAGATCAGATTGGCTACCAGTTCTCCAATTCCCAGGAAAGGAAGAAATTATATTGCTGTTATTTAAGAATTGCACTGAAATTTAATAAAGAATAATTGTCAGTCGATAAAGTCAACAATACTGGTATTAAATACTGTACACTACACTATTATGTTTTTGGAAACAAATATGTTTAAAACATAAACCGTCTGCTAACTTTTATATACATTCAATTGTTAATATGCTGTACAGTATTAATATTACAGTACTACTGTTATAAAAAAAAAAGGAATTCTTAGATAAATGAAAACTTTTTATACTACACTACTTGTACCAATTTTTATATTAATACAACTTTTTATACTACAGTATGCAGTACTGCTAAAATATTTTATACTACAGTATCGGGCAAAGTTACATAGCTTGCAAATCTAACATGCAATATTTAAATGAGAATATGTCCATGAACTAGCTATGCACTGATCACTCAGTCCAATTACAGCATTACAATCACTTTTTTTTTTTTTGAGCTAGTGTGCTATGTGCCTCTGTAAATACAGTAACATGATACCGCCATCGGACTTTGAAAAGTACAGCAGTACTGTAATCGTGGAAAAATGTAAAAATATTTATTCTAAGTAACTATTGGTGGAATCTCAAATTAAGTCATTAATGGTTCCTCGCAAAACAATTAAGCTGGGATGATGGGCTTCCAGTCTTTGCCACAGAAAACTTTAAATGCAGTGTATGCTAAATTTACCAGTCATCATCCATGGCCGGCCAAACAAAAATTATTTTTCAATTGCAAGCATATTAATGAGTAAAGCAGGATATTATAAGTCACACCAGCAGCTTGAATTGAGCTAGATGAAAGTAACGCGTCTAATACAGTAAATGGGAGAGGGGTGGCGAGTCTAAACTTGTGGTTTAGTTTATGGCTTCCCATAGTCAGACAGGAATCCTGTTAGTGTAGGCTTATTGAAGTCCATCCTAGGCAAACTGCTGACCTTCCCCTGGATGCACAGACGGTTATCTTGAGATGATTTCGGGGCTTTAGTGTCCCCACGGCCCGGTCCTTGACCAGGCCTCCACCCCCAGGGAGGGGCTCTATACAAGCCTAACGTATATACATACACAGGCTGGCGGTTCCCTAACAAAAGAATTATATATCGTACAGTAATTTGAAAGCAGCAGCTTAACCTCAGCACAACATTTGTATACATAATCGGAGCAGAATTTGTTGATGTGCACTATGACAATAAAAAACAAATTAAACAAGTATAAACCATCTGCTAGGCATTCTGAATAGGATTGTAAATATTTGAAGGGTTGAAGCATGGATACTTTTAGGTTATAAGGAGAACTATATAGTTTTATATAACAAAATTATAAGCACCATTTGCATAAAGAATATAATTCCATAATGTTATTATATATGCTGACAACTCGCATAATCGGGCCTCACTAACTCTTATATTATTCAGATTAATATTAGTTTGGTATCACTTCAAAATCTTTACAATAATTTCACATCGTTTCTTGGAATCAATGAATATGGGTAAACTCCACAATGCAAATTAATTCAAGACAGATGTTCTGCTCCACAGACAGGGTTTTGGATATCATATATTTCCTAATTTTAAATTGAAATACCTAATCTTAACCTTTCTCTAGCAATACTGTACATAATTAACTTGTCCAGAAAAAAAAGAGTAGGGAGCAAGTTGGAAATGGAACATCACATCTTGATACTGAATGTATTTTTGTTAAATAGCCTACAGTAAAATGTTAAAACATTGTACATATTATGTCACCAGACAGGCACAGGTATAATTTCACATCACGACACCATAACACTGACAACCCAGTGATATGACCCTCTTCATTTTACACCACATTGATCAGATTAGGTACACTCCACAAAAATGCTTCCGCAAAAATGCGATATCCCCCTTTTTCAAACTTGGCCAAAACTTTGTTCAAATATCCTTAATCATGATATCACCCTTTGCCCGAAACACTGGATATCACCCTTTTTGTCCGAAACACTTTGAGTATTAGTGGCCTTAGGCGTAGTATATACTAGCTCTATCTAGAAATCCAACATTCTGCTTGTAACCCAATATGAATATACTTTAACATAGATAAAAATGTATTTAATAATTTATTTGCTTGGTTTAGTGCACTCTTTTGATAATAACTTTTAAAATTGCTCATAACCTTAAGTAGCCAAACTAATCTAATATAGTATATTCTTATCTAATCTAGATTTAATATAACCAAACATAATTTAACTTAATTTAACATCATTTCAGAAAGTGGCTAGCTGGAAGTGGCAACAATCCAACTGCCTAATGTGCAATAATCACAATTTTTATCTCAAGACACATCTACCCTAAATCACACATCATGCTGCAACATTAAACATGCTTAATCCTATATTTCTCCCCTGTAAACTATTACTAGGCTTGAAAAGTGATCATTATTCTTCCTCAAATCACATAACTGACAATTACTAATTATTCCTTACTAATGAAAACATTATAAATTGTAATAAGCTGTCAATTGTAAACTAGTTTACAGTACTAGCTGTTGAATATTAATTATGCATTTTTTGTATTAAATCCCGTACACTTTCTATATATGCTCGAGGCATTGAGGCGATAATGAAATAGTTTATATTCGTAACTTGGCATAACGCTTTGCATACAAGTGGATATATAAAATATACATACAGTGATTAAGTAGGTGCCACAGGGTATCATGCTCTGCATATTTTTGGTTAAATTAAATTAGTTATTATAGGTGCAATGCACATGGTAGCCTTCATTAAGTATTACTGCACCGACGTAAACGTCTAAAACTCAACAAAACGGCCCAGACGCCATTAATTTTGCCAATACAACAATGAGAGGTGAGGAATGAGGCGGCCATCCAGCCCACTAATGTGGACACGTCCTTGCCGTGCGCCTTATCAACCAAGCAGCCGCCATGGACGCGCTGCCAGCCTTGCCCACAGTTCCCGCGCACTTTTTTAAATCGAAAATTCTCCCGCCTCGAGTCATAATGGTGTGTGACAATGAGCCCATAGGCAAGACTAACCATAATTAGACCTAACAGGCGTACAAGAATCCAAAAATGCGTGTCGTGTGCGCTTCTTGGAAGAAATTAAGGCACTACTCACCCAAAATTTGA